CACACACCCGCACTCACCCTCGTGCGCACACATACACACCTGCACTCACCCTCACGCGCACACACACCCGCACTCACCCTCGCGCACGCGCACACGCACCCTCGCGCACACGCACACACCCGCACTCAGCCTCGCGCGTACACACACCCTCACACACCCGCACTCACCCTCGTGCGCGCACACACATACACACCTGCACTCACCCTCGCGCACGCGCACACCCCCCCACACTCACCCTCGCGCACGCACACACACACACCCGCACTCACCCTCGCACACCGTGCGGTGCTGGCACGGCGAGAACAGCACCAGCAGCGCTAGCTCCGAGCACACCAGGCACTCGGCGGCCTCGGGCCCCGACGGCGCGGCCACGTGCAGGTTCGTCACGGTGTTGGGGGTGCCGAGCACCAGCCTCGGGCCCGGTGCCGCGCCCCCGCTGCCGCCCGTGTGCCGCTCCCTGCGGTTGGAGGAGGGGGCTTGAAAGGGCTCCGGGGCGCCGGGGACCGCCCCCCACCCCGCCGGGCTCACCGGAAGCGCTGCGCGCAGCCCTGCAGGGCCTTGAGCACGCGGGCCTCGGCGGCCAGGTCCAGCGGGCTCCGGCCGCGGTGGTTGGCGTAGTTCACGTCGGCGCCCTCCAGCGCCAGGAAGCATGCGACGGCCGCGCCCACCGTCAGCTCCCCGCTGCCCGGGAGGCCCGAGGCCTGTAGCTGGGCGGCAGACAGAGGCCGGTGAGGACGGGCACCGGAGCAGGCTCCAGGGCCGGCCCGCTGGCCTGCGGGGAGACTCTCCCAGCACCTGGCTGCCCGGGGCCTCGGGTCCCAGGCCCTGGCACCCCCTCACCATCTGAGGCCGCCGGAACAGGAGGGAGGTAGGCAGGAAAAGCGCCCCTGCCAGGGAACTCCAGGGCAGGGGCTGAGTTCCCAGACAACCCCCCCCACACTGCGCCCCATCCCCTTTCCCAGGCTGGTCAGGCCACGCTGTGGTGCCTGGGTCGCAGAAAACGCCTCCGGCAAACCACAGCCCCCGAGACTAAGCCACCCCCGAGAAGGCCGGGCTCCCTGGTCAGCCACCCACAGTGGAGGTGGACAGTCCCTCAGACCCTGCCTGTTGCCTGCAGCCGGGCACTAGGGCCCACCTCTTCACCCAGATCCACATTTCCTCACCCTGGACAAGAGCTGCAAGGGCCCCGGGTCCCCCCCGGCCCCATCAGCCGCCAGGGGCAGCAGCTGATGACGCTGCAGTGCCACGTGCAAGGCCGTGTCCCCCTCCTCATCCTCGGCGTTGACGCTGCAGCCTGCGTCCACCAGCAGCGGCACCAGCCCCACGTGCGCCTGCTGCACGGCCAGGTGCAGTGGGGACTGCAGCTTCCGGTTGCGGACGTTCACATCACAGCGGCCCTGAGGACAGGGCAAAGGGGCGGGCACGGGCTCAGCCCAGGGACCCCAGATGGGCCCTGACCCCCCCATGACGCCCTGGGGCTGGTCCAGGGCCCCGTGTCCACACCTCTCGGATGAGAATCTGGGCCACCTCCCGGTGGTTGTTGAGGGCGGCCAGGTGCAAGGCCGTGAAGCCATCCTCCTTCTTGGCATCCACCAGCTGTCGCGCGCGAGCCAGAATCCTCCGAACAGCTCTGTGGGAGCGGAGACACATGCCGGGGGTCCGGAGCGTCCCCACAGTGGCCCAGCAGCACCACGGGAACCCGGCCGCTGGCTCTGTCCCCCCAAACTCACAGTGTGTGGCCCTTGAGGGATGCGTGGTGCAGCAGGGTGAACCCCTGACTGTTAGTGGCAGTGACATCGATGCCCGGCACCTCAGTCAGGACCTCCACGATGCCACTGGCGCCAGCACCCGCCGAGATGGCACAGTGCAGAGGTGTGTCGGCATGGCCGTCCTGCCGGGGGGGGGGGGGGTCACTTGGCAGGAAGATAAATGCCGCTGTGTCCTTGACCCCGGGGCCAGAGCCAGGGGACCTAGCACTTACAGGCAGGTTGACATCACAGCCGCGTTCACAGAGGACCCTCACCACCTCCAGGAAGCCCCTCTGCACGGCCACGTGCAGGGCTGCGCTCCGGGTGCTGTTCAGGGCATTGGCCCCGCACCCGGAGCTCAGGAGCAACCGGGCAGCCTCCGGCTGGTTCCTGACGGAAGAGGAAGCAGGAGGGGCCCGATGCCCACCGGCTGGACCTGCGGGCCGCCCAGCCCCCACCGCGGCCCTGCGCGCGCCTCACCCCAGGGCGGCGTAGTGCAGCGCCGTGTTGCCCTCCTCGTCCGGCAGGTCCGCGCCCGCCCGCGCCTGCAGCAGCAGCCGCACCAGCTCTACCTGGCCGAGGTAGGCGGCCACCTGCAGGGCAGTCCTGCCCTGGTTCTTGGTGTCCACCTGCCAGGAGAGCCTGCAGGTCAGTCCCCGGCCCTCTTCCCCTCTCCCCGGGGCTGGCTAAAGGGAGGACGGGCAGGGCGTCAGGAGCTCGCCTGCTCTGGGTGCCTCCTCAGCAGGTCCAGAGCCCCGGCCATACTGCCCAGGGCCACCTCCACCACCAGTCTCCCTGGGTGCTCGAGGTCACTCTTCTGGGCTCGAAGCTTGTCCAGGGCGACACTCAGGGAGCCTGGGTGGGGCAGGGCTCAAGTTGAGTGGTGGCCGGGGTGGCCCTGCCTCCCGCCGGCCACCCAAGCTGGGCACGCGCACTTTTGTTCTCCCTGGCGCGCTCGGCCACATCAAGGTTGGCATCCTCCTCGGGCCGGTAGGCCACCAGGCAGGAGGGGCTGAAGGTCCACAGCTGACCACCGACCGCCACGCGCAGGTTACCATCTCTGAAAACTTTCACCACCTTCCCGATGCGGCCCAGGGCCTGAGTCGGGAGAGAGTAGGGTCACAGGCAGGCCTCCCAGGGGGCAGGGAAGGGGGTGGGGGTGGGAGCCGGGACACTCACAGGGGCCATGTCGTCTGTCCACTCGCCGTGCCCGGCCTGCAGCCGCTTCACTGTGTCAAGGTCGTCGATGACCCGCACCACATCGCCCACCCAGAAGGCATTGTGCTGAGTGACAGAGAGGCATGTGAGGGGCACCCCCAGGCAAGTGTGGCTGCCCAGGGCCATGGAGCAGGAGGGCACCCCTCAGCTCCACAGGACAGGCAGACCTGAACTTGACCCCAGCCCCTGCCTCAGAGCTGGATGAGGGTCACACGTGACCAGGGCAGTCCTGGGTGGCCAGCCCCAGAGCCACAGGGGTGACAGCCAGAGAGACAGCCAGGCAGTGGCATCCAGACCAGACCAAAGCCAACTCTGGGGTGAAGGTCAAGGCGGGCCTGTCCCTACACACTGATGCATGGCCGAGGCCAGTCGAGACGGGCACAGGGGGTGGGGGTGGGGCCCTGGGACAACCAGGGGGCAGGGTCAGACTGCCATGGGAGTGCGGGTCAGGAGCCACTCCTCCCCCATCCCCAAACCTTTCCTGGCTACATCCCCCACACCTGTGCCCTCCTCTATGCAAGACTTACTCTGCAAACCATGGGACTTATGACACCCCACCCCACCTCCCCGCCCCCCGGGGCCAGGACTCTAGGTCCAGGGCCGAGCGCTAGGGGTACATGCCTCCACCCAGGGCCCCTATCCGCACAACCCTGCTTCCCAAACAGAGTTCACTGTGCCCACCACTGTCCCCATCCTCTTCCTAAAGGGCCTTTCCACTGCCCCCACGTGCTCCCCACACCACACCCACAGGGAGCATTTTAGAAGGTCACCTCCCACCTGTAATGCAGCAGTGGCTTCCTGAGGCCAGCAGGGTAAAGGCCGGAGCCTGGGCCGCCAGCCCCCAGCCTCCACCAGCCCCCAGCAGGCGCCTCACCCTCCTCTGTGTCCCTTCACGCCTGGATCCCCTCTGTGGAACTCAGCCCCTCCTGGACCCCACAAAGCCCTCCCCTGTGCCCTCAGGGCTGGAGAAAGGCATTCCCAGAGCCGGTCAGGTACGTGGAGGGGGTGCAGAAGCGAACAGACGGGGCTCAGCCCAGCCCCCCATGCACCTTGGTGAGAGCCCCAGGGTGGAAGGTCCAGCGGGTCTCATGGCCGAACTGCACACGCACATCCCCACGGTCCGTGATGCGGTGCACGGTGCCCGTCTGTCCGATAAACTGTGGCGGGTCATGGAGGCTGTGGCTGGGTGGAGCGGGAGGGCTGGGGGTCCAGAGGATGTGGGGAGGGGAGGGGACAGGGGGCTCAGCAGGTGGGGTGGCTCACCTCCGCCATCCTGGGGTTCCACCCGCCGTGGCCTTCCTGCATCTCCCTCAGGATGTCTGTGTCCAGCAGACACTTAACCTTGTCCCCGTGCTGGAAAGGCTGTCCATCAGCACTCACCCTGCGCTGCAGCTCTGCCGGTTTGCCTGGGGGTGGGCAACAGGCCCCCCTCAGCAGCGTCCCTTCCCTCGGCGGCTTCACCAGCCAGCCCCCACCCGGCGCTGCCCCAGGACCCAGCCAGGGCAGAAGGGCAGCTGGGCACGCAGGTGCGGTGTCCTTGGGGCCAGACCCTACCGAGCCTTGGGAGGTGCTCCTTGTAGTAGAAGCCACCAGCCGCCTCGCCCACACACTTGAGGTCCACCTTGCCCTTGTGGCCCACACGGTACACATTGGTGGTGCCATCGGCCCACGTCACACTGGCCACGCTCCGGCCCGTCTCCACGTCCCAGCCACGGATGTCCACCACTCGGCCTGGCTTCCCTTCCCCTCCTGGGGAGACAAGGGCCCCATCGCAGGCTAAGCCCCTGCTATGAAGCTTAGCCACAGCCCGCGGCAGCCCCGATCCCCACTCACCGTCCTGCGAGCCCCACTCCCAGTCAGGGCCCCGCACCACCTTCGCCCCCTGGAAGATTCCCCTCAACGGGATCCTTGGGAGACCCTGGCGGGGACTCAGCGTGACCCTGCAAGAGAGTGAGTGGGTGCTGGGCCACGTGGGAAGCAGGGTGAGGGTGCAAGCCCTCTGCCCCACCCAGCTCTCGCCCGAGGATGGCCGGCCCAGCCGGTCAGCGGCCTCCACTCTGGGCCCCCTCGCAGCATGGCCTCCATATGCGGCCCTCCTCCACACCTGCTCCCTCCTAATGAGCCACGTGCCGTTAGGGTTGTCCCCAGAGCTCAGCACACAGCCTGGCCCGGCGGGAGGGAGGTCGGCACAAGGAAATGGAAGAATGAAGGCACAGCAGCTTGCCCGGAGGTGCCCAGACAGCTGATCCCTGCCCCTGCTCTGGCCAGTGGGCAGCTGGGACCAAATACACACCTCCCCTCCACGTGCGCGGGAAGTGTCCGGGAGACAAGGGCGGCAGCGTCTCGTGGGTGGGGCCTCTGGGTGGCCACCCCGGCCCAGGAGACCCTCCCAGCTTCATTCCCTACCCGCCCGCCCAGCGATGGAGCCCCCTGGGCAGGCCAACAGGGTCTCCCCAGCTGTGCCTCTGGGTTAGTCCCCAGCATGGCTGCCGGGGCACCCCCAGGGGATGCTAGCCGTACACACACTGGACGTCTCAGCGCCCCCAGCACGGCTGCGCCGGGGAGCCGGCCACACCAGCTCCAGGGCTGGTGCCAGGACCCCGTCCGCAGCACCAGCCTCCGCAGACCTGCTCCGGTGGATAGGGCTACCTTCCACGGGGTGGGGGTGGGGCCGACGGCCACTCCTCCGGGGCCAAGGCCTGCCCAGGTGTTGTGCGTGCTTGCCGTGAGGCCGGGAGTGCCGCAGGCCAGGACCCAGGGCCGCCAGGGCCCCACACGCCCAGGCCAGGGCGCGGCGCAGGCCGCAGGGGCGGCGGCGGGACTCACGGGCGGGAGTGAGCCGTCTCGTAGCGCTCGAAGGCGTGGGCAAGGTCGTGCTTGTTGTGCATGTAACACTGCGTGCACAGGTCGTAGTCGAAGCAGACGCGGCACTTCCAGCGCATGCCCCGCAAGCCGTGCTTCTTGCAGCAGTCACAGATGATGTTGGGGTGGCGGACGCCTGGGGGCACGGCAGGGTCAGGGAGCGCGGGGCTCTGCCCCCCACCCCCCGGGCCCTGCGGCGGCCGCACGCACCGATCTGGGCGTTGTCGTACAGCAGCAGGTCGTGTGCGCCCTGGTAGCCTGCGCGGTAGTTGGTGCGAGTGCCGTGGTCCCACTGCACGACTACCGTGCGGTCAGGGGTCGAGGGGCTACCGTGGCGGCCAAGCTCCACCACCGTGCCCACGCCGCCCTCACCGCCATCCTGCTGGCCCCACTTCCAGTCCACGCCGCGCACCACACGCATGCCCACCTGCACGCCTGCCTGGGGGTCTGGGTCCATGGCGGGCAGGACTGCTCCGGGACCTGCAGGCAGACGGCACCCTCAGGCCACATCAAGAAGGCCACACAGGCTCTCGCCAGCTCTGGGCGGGCTGCCGGGGAGACAGGTGAGAACAAGTCTGGGAGAGCCAGGGAGGGAGGCGGAGGAGGGCAAGTGCAAACGCCCTGAGGCCGAGAGAAGCGGGCGAGCGCGTGCACTACAGCCCAAATGAGGCTCACCTGGCCACTGGCCGGCAGCGGGGCACACGAGCTCAGAGGTGCAAACAGCACCTGTCCTGGAGGAAGGTGGGCACCTCTGTGGAAAGGCCCCTCGGGCCACTATGAGACCCTGCCTCGTGGTGAGCACGGGCAGAAGCAGGGGGCAGTCCCGGTGGAGAGGTCGGTGGACCGCCAGGGAACAAGACCTGGCAAATGCCCACAGAGGGTCCACCTGCGCTGGCAGATCCAGTTCTGGGTGGTTGGCACACAACGGCCCCTCGGCACATATTTGTTCTACAATTAATGGATTTGGATTGCAGGTATCAACATGAAAGGTAAGACAATAAAGCTTTCAGAAGAAAACAGACTCTTCGCCATGCAGCCAGTTGGTAAGCTGGGCTGTGCCGAAGTCAGGAACCAGCGTCCACACCACTGAGAGACTGACAAGGCCGCAGGCCCGAGAAGACACCTCTGCCCACAGAGGTCCTGTCTCCGCGCCCAGAGAACTCAGACGTATACAGAGTGGGCGCCCCGGGGTGAAGGGGCACAGCCTGGCGCAGGTGCCCCCTGCCAGACTCACCAGGCCACTGCACACGAGTGGGACGCTACCCTAGGTCAGTGGACAGCGCCTCGAGGTCACTCGAGGCCCGACTTCTGGGGTCTTCTCCGGGCTGTACAGAGGGAAGGGCGCCTGTCTCCCCAAGGGTGAACTGGGTCATGAGATGTGGTTTACCCACCATACTACACAGCCAGCAGCTGGGAGGCAGAACTCAACAGATGTTGAAGGAAGGCAGCCACGTGCCCACTATCTGAACTCATTTACAAAAAATTCACAAAGCGGGCGCCTGGGTGGCTCAGTTGGTTAAGCGACTGCCTTCGGCTCAGGTCATGATCCTGGAGTCCCTGGATCGAGTCCCGCATCGGGCTCCCTGCTCGGCAGGGAGTCTGCTTCTCCCTCTGACCCTCCTCCCTCTCATGCTCTCTGTCTCTCATTCTCTCTCTCTCAAATAAATAAATAAAATCTTAAAAAAAAAAAAAATTCACAAAGCAAGGAGCCGGCGGCAAAGGCCGCCACGGGGGCTCTGGGACCCAGGAACGTCCTACTTCCTGATCTGGGTGCTTATTACGTGCTGATCACTTACAACCTGGGACCTGTACTATATGTTTCTTCAATAAAGGTTTTTTTAATTAATGACACAACTGGATTTGAATGACAGTTAAGAGGGAATATCAACAGGACTTGGAGAGGGCCCAGGGTCTCCCAGCCTGTGAGAGAGCAGTCACCACTCCATTCTGGATAGGGTCTGCCATGCTGCCAGCAGGGCTCTGAGGCCGGAAAGCAGCTGGCCTAGGGCACTGCCCAAGACAGGGCTGGGTGTGAGCCTGGCCGTCTCCTCACAGAGCTCCCGGGAGGCTGGAGGGAGACTGAGGCTACTGCCAGCTTCCATCAGGGCCCAGCGGCCCCGCTCAGCCACAGGACACTGGCCAGCAGCACGGGAGGGAAACCACCTGTCACCCCTCCACTCGGCATCCCAGGCTGGGCCCCCTCAGGAAACACTGCCACCCAGCTGAGGCCACAGGTGGGCAGTGAGGAGGGGTGGCGGCCAGGCTCTGCCAGGGGCAGGGGCCGAGCCCCACGGGCCATCTGACGCCTCCCCTCTGCCCAGCTCCACTCTGAGACCCACGTCCAGTACAGGGTGGGCAGGGTAGGGGCACCATCCATAGGGCTGGGCCTCAGTCCACGCCCAGCCTGGTGTCTGAGCCAACGACCCCCGCAGATTCTCAGGGTAGGACCCACCCAGCCAGCTCCGACTTCTGCAGATTCTCCTCCCTCCAGAAAGGCCCCTGTGGCGGCGGCCTCTTCACCCTGCCCAGGCAGGACCTCCGGGGGCTTCCGCAGAAGCAGGTGGATGTTTTAGGATAAACCTTCCCAACCCATGGACTAACTAGGAGCCTTTCCGCAACGAAACTCCTTATTGCCCGTTCATGTAGAGAGCCTCACCTCTTGGGCCACTCTCCCTGTCTTCCCTTCTGGTCTCTGGCCCCTGCTAAGATGGGGCACCTGGGCCAAGAGCTTCTTATTTCTTCCAGAAAGCACAGCCAAGCCCAGGCCTGCCCCAGCAAGAACGCCCCCAAGAACACCTGACTCTTGGGTGCCAGCAAGTTCTGGACGAGGGGAGGCATCCCGTGGGCGGCCACCTTGGCGGTGAGATGGTGCCTCCCCGTCAGCAGCTGCCACAGATGTGTGACCGGTGGCCTGCCCGCGGAGTGGTGGCGTGCCCCTTCACATACAGGCCCCACCCCCTACCCTGCCTGCCTCAGCCAGATCCTCCTGCGTGCTGGGAACCCCCCAGAACTGCCAGCGATGGACGGGTCACACTGAGCTACTCCTGGCCCTTCCCATGCGCTCCAGCCAGAGTGTGCCTCATCCCAGGCAACCATGAACCCAAACACGTCTGGACAGACAGGCCCAACTGAAGGTCCCTGCTAGCAGGTGTACCCCACCTGCAGAGCCCAGAAACCGGCTCCACACTGAAGTGAAGCACTCAGAGCAGGAAAGGACCCAAGTGCCATGAGCCATTCTGTGGCCAGTCTCTCAGCCTGCCCAGCCAGCCACCACACCTGCCCACCCGCTGGCCTTATGGACCCACTGGCCACATGCTACAGGATCATTTCCAACAGGACACGGGGAGGGGGAACCCCGAGAAGGAGAGCAAGTTGTGGCCCACGCCTGGCCCTGCCCTATGGCAACGGGCAGAGAATGAAGAGTGGGGTGGAGGGGAGCCTGGAAGGGTCTGTATGAAGCCAGGACTGGGCCTCAGCTGCTGACAGCTCCACGTGGGGCAGCAGAGCAGTCCAGCCCGTGGCGAGAGGCGCTTCTGGCCAGCGCCTGTCGCACTCACACCCGGAGACCCCCACAGCCCTAGGAGCCTCCTTGTCTCCTCCCCTCCAGCACCTGATCCGCACAAGTGTTGAGGTCTGCCCTCTGCTTCAGCGTCTCCTTCCAGCATGATGTCACCTCAGCTCAGGCCTGAGCAGAGCCTCCAGCAACACCCTCCTGCTGGCCCTTCCTACACATCCACCCAGCTCCTGGGCCTCGGAAGCATCCTCACATGGCATTCTAGCACAGTGTGCCAGGTAGCTTTCCAGGTCTCTCCATCCCTTCTCTGCGCCCACCTCTCTGCCTGGTCTTTGTCACTGGTGTCCCTGGGGCCCAACACATGCTGAGCATGATCCACGTGACATCAGGTGCCCAGTCCTCCTGGTATTAGGACTCACTACTTTCCTTCAGCAGGTCCCACCGGGGTGTGTGCGGAGGGGGTGGCAAGTGGGGAATGGACCAGGGTCAGGAGGCAGTGACCAAACCCAGAGAGGCTACAGAGGAAGGGAGCACCCATTTCAGTGGGAATATTCACCCAGAGAGTTCTTTCTTTTTCTTCCGTTGCCAGAAAAGCTGTACTCTGATATCTTCCTCAGATGGCCATACCCCTGCCTGGGACCCAAACCCCCACAGAGGCTGTCACTACAGATGTTTAAAATGACTCTGAAGCAGGGTGCCTGGGTGCCTCATTGGTTAAGTGTCTGACTCTTGATTTCAGCTCAGGTCATGGTCTCAGGGTCATGAGACTGAGCCCCGTCAGGCTCCACACTCAGGAGGGAGTCTGCTTAAGATTCTCTCTCCCTCTCCCCCTCCCCCTGGCGCACGAGCACACTCCTGTGCGCGCTTGCTCTCTCGCTCTCTCTCTCAAAAAAAAAAAGGCTGAGTCAGAGCATGAGGACTCAAGAGACAGATGCACACTTAGCAAAACTTAACTTACCTTAGAACACAAACCAGCCTCGAGTCAGCATTCCAGACACTTAGCAGCTACTTCTTGGGTCACAAATTGGACAGCCACCAAGATTTCCTGTTGGAAACTAGCAGCCATGCCGACACAGAACACAGCAAACCACACAGGCAGCCAGCAAGCAAGTCTGGAGAAAATGGTTTTTAAAAGGCAGTTTTACACTTTCAGCATTTACCACCTCAACCAAACAGGCGGACATCTGGGTCTGTTCTGTTGGGTACTAGTTTCTCTCGTCTCAAGGAACTGCCAGCTCTTGGAGGGCAGAATGATTTCCAAAACATACACTAGGACAGTGTAGAAATAAGAGGTTTTCCCTATTTGTGAATACTTTATTGGAAAAACTTGCAAAAGCCCTAAAGATTAAATCCCATTTAGCTAGAAAGTTGGCAAATCGCCTTTATTCAGAAGAGCGCAGTTACAGGACGCTGACGTGACACATGACAGGCGGCTGCCGCCCCTCTCCCTGTGCTCCGGCCGTGCCTGATGATGCTGTTTGAATCCACACCTTGTGGGGCACAATCCACTGGCAAAACATGGTGAATCACGGGCTCCTGTCATGTAGCAGGTCTGGCTAAGACAAAGGTGGACATCCTGGGTGCTGGGGAGTCTGGCCCATTAGGGCCCGGGGGGAAGCCCTGAGATAGTGCGCCCAGGAAACCCAACTTGGCCCAGCACGAAGACACCTGCTGGCGGAAGGCCCAAAGGAAGTACAGGGCTGTCATCACCTGAATCTTGGCCCGAGATGGAAGCCTTCAGGCACCCTGCAGACTGGGGTGTCACGCCCCAACCACTGCACAGGGCCACTCCGCGGGGGAGCAAGGCATTCAGATACTTGTTGCATCTGCAGCAACAGGCCAGGAGGGGACCTGCCAGGAAGGACTGGGTTTGCCAAGGCTTCCATTCGGCCTGCCTCATCCCCAGCCCCGCAGGTGCCCACTAGGAAGAAGCTTGTTCAGCACCTCTCCTTCTTTCTTCAATCGGTTCTGAACGCACAGGACTGGCAGGCAGATTTATCTATCTCACACACACACACACACACACACACTCAAAAACAACCAAAACTCCTCTGACATGGCATCAAACAGAATCCACAGGATGAAACAGTCAAATCCAAACTATCACACCACAAGCCTGTCAAGAGCTCACCTGTCTGGCCGTCCAGTCGCCCCCCCACCCCGCCGCCCGCCTTGAGCCTGCTGGGCTGCAGCCCTGACGCCTGGAGACTTGGGGACTGGCCTCTAGCCTTGCTGAGCTTCAGCGCAAGCCCTGAGCCATCCAACCCTGTGGCGCCTGGGAGATGCCAAGACGCACAGTTAGCACCTCCGACGGGACGCGGCGGGCGGACGAAGCCGGCCCGTCTGCTCCTGGGCTGCCCGCGGTCTACATGCCCATTCCCGTGCCGACACCGCGGGAGCCAGCGCTGCCCCGGGGGCCTGCTTCCCGCCTTGCAGGGCTCCCCGGGCTCTGGCGGCCTCGCTCCTGCTGCAGCAGTCAGTCTGGTGCGCGCAGGAGCCGCAGCGCCCGAACACGACCTGCCGCCGGGAGTGGAGCCGGAGGGCTGGCGGCCCGGGCGCTGCAGACGTCAGGGCCCGGCGCTGCGCCCCGGCCGAGGCTCCGCGGGGACAGCGGGGGCGGGTCGGGCCGGACTAGGCAGGGCGGGCGCGCAGCCCCAAGCGTGACCCGCCCCACCCGCCCGGGTCCGCCCCGCCTCCTACCATCCCATCCCCCTTCCTCGGGAAGCCGCCCAGGGCCCCGGTCGCGGCCAGACCCTAGTGCCCCCGTCGACCCCTCCACTTGCCCGTAAGTTTGCGCCCCGCCCGCTCGGCCTGGAGGCTCCGGGGGCCGAGAAGCGCCGAGTCTATCTGCCAGTGGCCTGCCGAACGACCTCGGTGTGTGACAGCCTGCCCGCAGCCCCTCTGCTGCTCAGCTCCCGCCAGCCAGGCCGCCCTGCCGCGCCGAGACCACCGGCTGAGGCAGCCGAGGACCCCGGGCTCGGGACTCCTGGGGCCGCCGCGGGGCCTGCCGGGAGTTGTAGTCTGTAGCCCGCTGGCGCCGCAGCCCGGGGTCGGGTCCGAACCACAACTCCCAGGAGGACCCGCGGCGGCGGTGACGCACGCGACCGCAGGAGGCGGGGCGTGAGGGAGGGAGTCCCGGCCCGTGCCCCGACAGTGACGGAGAAGCCTCCTGCTCTGCTCCTGGGAAGGGCCCGGGCTCGCCTCTGCGCTAGACGCGGATGGAGGGCGCGTTCACATCGGACAGCGTGTAGTACACGTCGTCAAAAAGCGGCGGCGGCGACCTCGGCGGATCTGTCACCACGCTGGGGGCGGGGAGCCGAGCAGCATGCGCCTGGACTGGAAGGAGCCGGGCTCCTTGGCCGGTTGGGCGCCGAGATTCTGGCACCCCGGAGGCCACTGAGGACCGGGCTCGTGCGGACCGGCCAAAGCGGGCCACGCCGCCGGTGCGCGGAACCTACAGCCACGCCCCCTCGCGGGAGGGGGCGTGACCCTCGCCGGAAGTGCGTCACCCTAGCGTCGGCCCTACGTGGCGCGGTTCTGAGAGGCTCGGCTCGGAGACGCCGCCCGTTGCCGTGGAGACGGAGGCTGCGGCGGGCCGAGGCGGGCCTCCGCCGCTCGGAGCTGAGGCGTCCTCGCCACGGACGCCTTTGACTGGATTTATCTTAAAATCAGGGTGACGCCAGTATGTGGCTTTGAGTCTCGCAGTGAAGAGCAGCGGTCCCCTGCCGTTCTCCCCCGCGGCAGATCCTGTCGGAAGCCTCCAGGTCGGCACCGGAGGCGCCGACGTGGTGGCCCTGCCGCGGCCCCAGGAGTCCCGAGCTCGGGGTCGGGGCTTCCCGCGGACCCGGCCCGGCCGGGCTGCCGCCCCGAGCTCCCCCCCGGCCGCGGCTTTTTGTCCTGCGCGCAGACGCACCTCGGTTTCCTCATGCCTGGCTCTGTGCTCGCCGCAGCGCCTTTGTCCGCCGTTGTCGGGGCACGGGCCGGGACTCCCTCCCTCACGCCCCGCCTCCTGCGGCCGCGTGCGTCACCGCCGCCGCGGGTCCTCCTGTGTCTGCCCGACGCCCGTCGGCCACGCTGGCTCTTTAACCCCCGAGCCCCCCGTGCGGCTCGTGCGCCCGCGGTCGTTCCCGGGGCCCGCGCCGTCTCCGTCTCGGTCTGCGCTCCCGCGGTGCTCACGTCAGCCCTCGAGTGCGTTCTGGAGAGGGTACGTGTCCGAAGTGGGTTTATTCCGTGCTCGTCTCGGATCCAGAGTCTGCAGAGCATAGGATTCCAGCCTGGAAACGCCTGACCTTTAGAACGTCTCAAGGCGCACCTTTTGCTTCCAGCCTCCAGGGATGCTGTTGAAAGTCGAAGTTCTGATTCCTGGCCTTCGGCTTCTGACCTGCTCGCTCTCTGAGAGCTTCAGGGTCTTCCCCGTGCTTGGTGCTCTGAAAAGTCACGGAGGCCCGTCTTCATGTGAGCCTCACTCCTTGTTCTGCGCACACAGTTCTCTTCACCCTGGGGGCTCTTGTCCTTCCTTCGGTTTGGGAACTTAAAAAAATCCCCTTCTATTTTCCTGTTTGCTCTCTCTCTCTCTCTTTTGAGGTTTATTTGAGAGAGAGAACACGTAGAGGGAGGAGGAGAGAGAAACCCAAGCCGACTGCACGCCCCAAACGGAGCCCGACGTGGGGCTGCATCGAGGCTCGATCTCATGATCCTGAGATCAGGACCCAGACACTTAAAGGGCTGCGTCACCCAGGCAGTGGGTGGGTTTGCTCTTGATGGGATTCCTGTTTCTCAGATTCTCATTGGACTTCTTGGACTAATCCTGTAACTTTATTCTCTAACCTAGTGTTTTTTCTGGTAGATATCTTTAAATTTACCACCCATCCCTTCTGTTGATCAGTTAACCTCTATCATTTTGTGACTTATAACAAGAAATGTACACTGGGTTTTCATCCCGTTTCTAGCACAGAGCTCCTAAAACCTTTGAATTTCCTAAGTGAAGAGAGTCCTAAAGGTGTGTTTTGATACTCATGAAAAGCCTCTTTCAGCCACGTTTGAGTTTAATAAAGTTGATAAAGTGATTTTCGGAAAGTCTTTGTTAACTTTAAAAATAAAACAGTTACCCACAAAAATGGGTTTACTTGGGAATAACAGAGAATTACAATTTGGGACCTGCGAGCTACAGCAAAACTACAGGCAAGTCCAGAGAACAAAGGAGAGGATCGTTATATTATGGAACAGGGAGAGGTTGGGAGGGTTGTTTTGGTTTTGTTTTTAAAGATTTTATTTGAGAGAGACTGAGAGAGCACAAGCGGGGAGAGAGGGAGAGGGAGAAGCTGACACCCTGCTGAGCAGAGAGCCCGATGCGGGGCTCAATCCCAGGACCCTGAGATCATGACCTGAGCCTAAGACGGACGCTTAACCCACTGAACCACCCAGGCACCCCGGGAGGGTTGTTTTGAATGAAAGCCCACTGAAGAGAAACGGGAGGTTAGGGTGATGATGGTTTCTTACTGGCTGAGCTGCAGGGGCAGTGGATTTCTTGTAGGAGATGCAATGCACATCTTTTCCTGTTGGGGCCTGTAATTGATGGTTCTTTCCTATTGATGATTCTTCCCTTGGGGAGACACTTCTTCCTGTGATTGAGATTGAGGGGTACAGCTCCTTCCAGCCTCCCCTTCTAGCATCAGCAGTCCACTTTAGTGAGGTTTCCCTTTAAAAATTTTCATGCTCCTAGGGGTTGGGAGGGGGGGAGACCATCCATGTGATTAAAGGCTTGGAACTCAGTCTCACCCCTGACCTCCGGGTATGGAAGAGGGGCCGGGGATTGAGTGCATTCTCCAATGGCCAACAACTTAATCACTCATGCCCCTGTTATGAAGTCTCCAAACAAATCCCAAAGGACGGGGTCTGGAGAGCTTCTGGTTGGTGGACAGACACGTGGCAGTGTGCCTGGACAGGGCATGGAAGCTCCGTATCCTTCCCCCATCCCTGACCTCAGGCAGCTCTTCCGTCGGGTTCCTGAATTACAGCCTTTTATCATAAGCTAGTAATCTATTAAGTAGAATGTTTCTCTGAGTTCTGTGAGCCACTTTAGCAAATGAATCGAACCCAAGGAGGAAGTTGTAGGAACCTTTAATTTATAGCCAGTCAGTCAGAAACACAGGTGACAACCTGGACTTTCGACTGGCATCTAAAGTGAGTGTGGGGGGGGGGGTCTTGTGGGACTGACCCGTTAGCCTGTGAGATCTGAGGCTATCTCCACGAAAGTCATGTTAAGATTGAGTTAAATTGGAGCTTGTTCGTGAGGAAGTGGCAGGATTGTAGGGTCAGAGAGGCACTGCAGGAAACGTGACAGCGTGTTCCAGAACCGTAAGGGGAGGGCGTAAGTGACCCTGCTGCTCCGCTCCGAGCTGTGGTCTGAATCAACCTAAATTTTACACAGAAGGCCAACCTCTGAGATAGAAAATTAAATAAATTTAGACATTGGACTATGGGGTCAAGGTGGTCAGCCTTGGCAGCAATGGCCCTTGAACCAACCACAATGGATGCAGTTACTCCAGTACCAATAAGCATCCGAACTGACTGGCATGCACTGGCTCAAGCATGGATTGACCGAAGAGAAGCTTCAGGACAGCAAACCACTGTGGTTGAGCAACCACTGGGAATGATGCCAAATTGACAAGATATGTCCACAATGGGATTTGGTCCAAACAGTCATGGGAATTTTTAAGGGGATTCAAAGTTTAACAGAATGTGGCAACCAGAAAGGGGAACGCATCTGCACCCCCATGCTATCCCACCACCACCCCCCACCGCGCAGTTCAGCCATGGGCACCATCCACACCAGGCCCAAAGGACGTGGCTCCTCCTTCTGGGGACAGCACCAGTCAAGACAGTGGGCAATTTGCCCCCAACAACAGGCATCTATTTAACCAAAGCAATCACAGCTTTGGTGGACCACCCAGTTAATTTTGCAACGGGGCCAGTGTATCAGTTTGACTATCAGCCTGGGGCTGCTTCTGGTCCCCTGCAAGGTGACTTTCATCTTCCGTATCTGCAGTCAGAACCTCCAGGACTTCTGGCACCTCCCCAGATTCGGAGACAGAGGCCACCCTCATCGGGGACCAGCGGCGTTCACCTATGGCCTCCCTGTGAAGCAGGAGCCTCCACAGACTGCTGCAGCAAAACACAGGACTCTTGCAGCTTGGACTCAAGAAGGCTGGGAACATGAGGGGCGCCTGGGTGGCTAAGTCGGTTGAGCATCCAACTCTTGATTTTGGCTCAGGTCACGATCTCAGGGTCGTGAGATCGAGCCCCATGTTGGGCTCTGCCCTGGGCATGGAGTCTGCTTGGGAGTCTCTCTCTCCCTCTCCCCCTCCTGCCTGTGCACGCACGCTCTCTCAAATACATAAATCTTTACTACCGGATGTCACAGATGAAGACATTTGTCACATAGCCAAAGATGCACCCTGAAAGCAACAAACGCCCCTGCAAAGGGGACACACCCCTGCGTGCTGGCTTCCCTCCCTGGAAGGACCGGGGACGGTGCTTCTGGGCCCAGAGACTGTGAAAAGGAGGGCATAGCAGGCGCTGGATCTGACAAAAACAGGAAGCTTTCTGGGGAAAAGAAGAGCAGCAGCTGTTACATAATAAACAAAGGGAAGAAGAAAAGTCACAGACAGGGTTACCAAAGAGGTGGACGAATATGTCCATAAAGAGCAAAATAGCTTGTCACCACTAGAAACAAGAGAAGCTGACGGTGGTTAAAGAGAAGAGCTCCCAGTGAAACAACATCATTTTTAGAGGAAAAAAAAAAAAGCATAAGAGAAACCAGGAAGGAGCAGATCGTGTCTCCAGCTGTTCTCGCCGTTCTAGAAGGGTGACTCTCCAGGTAGGGGTCACACTTCCAGATCTCCTCTTAAAAGAAAAAGATGGAACGCCTGGGTGGCTCAGTTGGCTAAGTGTCTGCCTTCGGCTCAGGTCATGATCCCAGGGTCCTGGGATCGAGTCCCACATCGGGCTTCTTGCTCAGCGAGGAGCCTGCTTTTCCCTCTGCCTGCCGCTCCCCCTGCTTGTGCTTTCTCTCTTTCTCTCTAATAAATAAATAAAATCTTAGAAAAAAGAAAAAGAAAAAGAGACCTAGCAGGAGTCGCTCTCCGACATTAAAGCAACACGTAGTAGGAGTACAAGTTACTCCCTCAGAATTACAATCTCGCGCAGTAGGAGT